AATAATATGGCTCGTTTGTGGTGAATTAAATAGGTAAATCGAGATTTCGGGGAAATAACTTTAATCTTTCCAGTTAGTGTCGTTGTCTATTTCTTCTCTGCTCGGCGCATCTTTCTTTTCCAGATAGTAAATTATTTGTATTGAAAGTAGTGTTTGTTGTTATTTGTTGTTTATTATTATGATTATAAGTTGTTGGTTTTTTTTTTAGTTTTTAGTGTTTTTCAGAAAATTTCTTTTGAATTATTTAAAATAACAAATAGCCTAAGCCACCGGGCCGCACATTTAATATTTGTGCCCTTTTTCGTAATTCAATGGAGGTGCGCGCACGATATTAAAGACGATATGGGTAATAAGATGAAATTGTATGCATACTAATACTAATGCAACTGTTAAATATTATAAATCACGTGATAAATAACCGATACCAATATACGGTCAAAATCGCACGCATTAATTATTACCGATTGCACTGAAAATGTTAACTTACATATGTCATTATAATTACTCGTTCCCGACAAAATGGCGATAGTGACTATAACGCAATTGTGACTGTATGGGAGAAAATTTATTAAGGAAATGTTTGGTTCTTCCTGAGATGGTGACTGTAAGGGGGATGACTTTATGGGGGATGACTGTACGGGAGGTCGATTTGTAGCTCTCAAAATCTATTGTACTTGCATAATTAACTTTAAACGCATCGTTTAATTAGAATTAAGCTAATTACTGTATTCAGAACTCGACATGACCAATAAAAACAGAAATGCCAATTTTGTGCTACAAGTAGAGTAATGAACGGGCCTTTATATTTTATTTAATAACTTACGCCACGATTTCCAACCTACATTTATTTTCTATGGTCTTGGTTGTGTACATTCAAACTTTATCGAGATCAAATATGACAGAAAAAAGCTGGGTCTATCAGGAACCTTTTTCGAACTGCTTAAAATAACCATCCGTATTTACAAAAATAAAATAACGCAGAATATACATATTATATAGCGTATACGCGTTGGTAGTGCTTCTTGCCCTCTTGTTCGTGACACATTGTGTCAGTAAAGGCAGATAAATGTGCTTCTTTTGATTTAGCCTGGATAGTAATGCAAGCATAATCTTGTTGAGAATCTTATTCCTTTATGATAATACTATTCCAGAACACGAATCAAGACGGCCGTGCATGGAAACAAAGTTCCAACGCTAACCGCTTCTTAATCTAGTCAATTCTCTTTATAAGGACCTTTTTAGACGGTTATAATGACCACTTGCTTTACCGAATCATACTATAGTATATTTTTATTTTTTATCAATTACATCTTTCCGAATAATATTGCCTCTCCATTATTCTATTTACAGTGTTTGGCGATCCATTTTATTCCAAAGCAACACGTTTTTGTTTTTTTTTTTGACGTTTCTTGCCTACTTTAACTTCTATCCCTAGACTGCAAGGAAGCCTATCTTCTGCTTTCTACTCCGTAGTAAAAAGAAAAACCTCTAATTCGACCAATTATCACCCTCTACTATCCGGTATTGAATAGTTTCTATATAAATACACTGTACAGAACTAGTTTAATTGGAAGGAAAAAGAAGTTTCCACAATAACCCAACTCCACTAGTTATAAAGAGTCACTGTGTACTACATTATCTACTCTTTGGAAAAGTGCCTTTTTACCATCATGTCAGATGATTGCCATGTCAATAAAACAATCTCATCCATCCTCCTGAACATAAGCATGTGATGACTGTTTTTACTCATATCTCATCATTTGGTATGGCATGGCCTCGTTTCTTTTCTTTCCATTTTATATATCCATCATAAACATGTCCAATAATATTAGAAGTCAAGATGATAGAGCTCATTACCAATGACAAGAATGGAATAATATCATATGAGACTGTTAGATGTCTATACAGAATCTATGAAACAACAGAAAATCCAAGTATCAGCATCTAGAAACTCATGCCATTTGATAAACCACTTATCTTCACATACCTGAATCACCAATTGGGGAATATCTTCAATAAACAGATTCAATGTGCTACCCCAGAAAACGTAATTCAGTGCAGTCTTTGACAGAGGTGCAGAAAACATCTGCAAACCAGCAAATTTGGATCCAAGAATCATGATAACTTCAACATCAGCACCTGCTAGCAGAGTAAGTACTGAAACTATTCTTACATTCTGACCAAACCATTCTTGAAATTTAGCATTTTTACTTAGTTCTGTCATTAAGACTGAGAATGCCAGGGCAGAATTGAAAGCAATAGGAACTATTAAGAAAACTATACTGAAAATAGAACAAATTGTATAAATAATTGATCATATGCTTGATAATTGTAAAGTATCATAGATGATAATACCTTGGCATATGTATTTGTGGGACGTTCCTTGCACTTGAGAGTACAAATGCCATATCAAGACTCAGATCTGCAAGTATTAGTGCAAGCTTGACAACAACAAAATTATGACCCTAAGTGAAAACAGTTTCACATATTAATATTAACATTCATGGCATTTTGTACAGCATTAGTGTTGAATACATGTAGTAGTAGGACACCTCACCTCTGGATACTTCCGCCTTGCAATAAAGTATATTATTGATAATATCAAAAGACCAACTAACAGTCCAATTAGTTTAAACTTATACGTTTGCCACAAATTGGCTAGACAAGTCCCATGGAAATGTATTAGTTTTCATTTTTGTTATAGAATTCCAGTACAATAAAAACAAAGCTTAAACCATATAATTGCATACCAGCAGGTGAAAACCCATAAGTTTCATCGAGATAACTAGTAGGATATTCTTGTGAGAACGAATTATAAGCTTTATGGCTAATCAAATCATCAAGATCATCAATAAACTGCTGTACTGTTCTCAGTGATAGATCCTCAGTTGCCTTGAAAGTGACTGGAAACAATATCTGATCTGGTGCATTAGGGTCAGGTTGATTGCGTCTGCTGGTGGTTATACGTGATGGATCAATGGGGATGAGCTCAGCAAGCTTTGAAACCATTGAGTCTAAGAACGAGTTCTTATCATCAGTAGATAATTGTTCAAATAAAGTTGTTCCTTCAGGCGTCAACCTCAGAAGACCTGTTGTGGTCTCTATTTATGTTCATTAGAGAAAATACAGCTATCAGTTAAGTGTACAGGTAAGTATTTATAAATGGATGTGATGCTTTACCTGTATATTTTCCTTCAGTTTCAGTTGAGGCTAATAAATACACAATTACTGGTAAGCAAACCAAATATTCAACAGTTAAGAGAACGTTAACTATTTGTTGATGCATACCTCCATAGTACACCCAATTTCCCTTTGTCACTCCAGTAAGTGGTTGTTTCAATGTCTTATTCATTACAAAATTGTTATCCACAACAACATCATATGTAGCATCAGGTTGGTTGAAAGTACTCTTGAAGATTTCACATGTTACAGCTGAATCATTTAATGTAACAGAACAGAAACCGGATTTTGCACTAAATCCCTGCCTGAGAATAGGGTTCCCGTCTGTCACTTGGTAAATTGAAATGTTTTGTGTTGAAAGAGCCACCTGATCCCTGAATATCAGTGTAATGTTCGTAATATCTAAAGACACCAATGAGCCTGATCGCGGAATTGATGAACTTACAAGAACATTGTTGAATCCAGCATCTGAATGTAGTAAGTATTGCAGTAATTGATAGCATCAATGAATGAAGGAAGAATGCATGTGGTCAATAGTTCTATATAGCTATGAATTATAACAATTACTCACCTTCTGGAAGTAGTTTGGGAAGTTGATAATACTCTACGATTAACGTTGACGGCCCAGTAATTCCCACCCACAGGGTGTTATTCGGAAATACGGCAAAATCACCGAAATCACCAAAACCTTGATCGAACGGAATGGTCATTATAATTGTTCCATTATTATTCTTGACAGTTCCAGTATATGCAAAACTGTTATCAGTGTAGTTATAGATAAACGTTACAAACAGAAATCCGCCATAAGGCAGTTGCCGTATTCCAGCCATAATCTTTGAAGTTTCCTCTGTATCATCCAATATCACGTTGACATTAGTTACAGAACCACTAGATAGGAATGCCACTCTCACGTAATCATGACTATTCATCTCAACTAGACGATTCGGGTCGGTAATGTTACTAGGAGCGTCTATAATACAAAAGTATCCCGATCCATCAACAGCCACTTCGCATGCCGATATAGTCATGCCCGAATATGGGTTGGTGCTCTGCCAGACTAAATGAGGCGTGTCAAATTGTAAAGTATCAGGTTGCCAGAATCTGACATATAAAAACCATTGCGGAGAAGAGTGGAATAATTTAGAGACAAGTGGGTGTGATATGCGTTCTAAAACGGCTATGCCATAACCGCCTTCCGTGGTGGGAAAGATTGAGTGATCGACCAGGTCATTGTCATTATTTCCCGTGATATTGCCTTTATACAACTGGGTTATTTGACCCGTGTTATTGCTATATATAATACAGCGTGGGAGGGTGGTTTGATTAATCCAAATGCCTTCAATGGTTGCCACAATTTAATGTTTATTTATACTCACGGTGCGCTAAAAAATTTCCACTGAACTCCATTAAACACCCCTGTTGTTACAAGAAAATCCGTATCCGGATTGACGTTGGTTTTTACGAGTAGTTTAGGAAAAAGGGTGTTGATAAGACCATCGGCAAGCACTACATCACTATCCGTGAATACGATTAATTCAACACAGAGATTTTAATTTACAATGATCCATCTACTCTTTAGGCAATGTTCTTAAACCTTACCTTTGTAGTATCTGGCCACTCCAATCAACCAACCTTCCATGAATAAGTTGGTCGTCGTTTGCCTGCGTTATTAACACATATCCGTCACTAAGCGGGTAAGCACGCGGTATGTATTCATTATAGTCGTATATTGGTTCAGTAAATTTGGTCAATGTGCCATTTGGATGTAGCAGACGTATATAAAAATTATTTTTATATATAGATGAATGACCATCAAAACGATACAATTGCATCAACCCTGTACCATCTGGATACGTGAAGCCATTATTAAGCAAATTATCGTTAAAGAAATGAAGATTATCAGTGTCTGAATAATTAAAAGCCCGAACACTTGCAAAAAACCAAATAAATAATAAGAGATAGCGGAGCTTGTTGATCATTATTATCAAGATGCAGGAATGGGAAAAGGTACGTTCTGGTTTAGAATTAGGACCTAAATGAAAAATGGTGCTTTTATTGATTCACTTTATTGTGAGTTTGGTGCACGTTTTGATCAAGCATTCATTATTTTTAGAACATAACAATTCTGCAAATTGTAAACCTAAATTTTCTTACATATGAAGCGAAACAATAACCATACTACTTGCCATTGTGACACAACTGTATTCTGATGATCAACGTAAATCTGTCGTGCCACTCTTATTTTGCAGTCTCGTGACTTCCGAGGTCTGATCTCTACTTTTATGGATGCGCATGTTGTGGTTACCTTAGCCTCAGGGAGAATTCCTTCCCCCCCCAGAGTTAATAAATCTCGTTAAATTATAAGAAATGCGTTCGCGCGCTCGGCTGTAAGTATCGCTTATTTCTAATCGTTTAACAACCAAATTCGAAGTATGATTAACTGATCGTATTATCTAAACCCGAATTTTCACAAAATTAAAATAAAACTTGCATAAGATGAAGAATGTGTAACAATGCAAGGCCGACAATGCGGGTAGAATAGGTTTTTGAAAGTCAGCTAATTTATTTCGAGCTATAGATAATCTGCCCCATAGGAGAGTAGAATTTGTTTACCGTTGTTTTATTTTTAAACATGTTCTGGCAAGTATGTTTGCGAATTAGCTTCAAAGAAATTAAAGCTCAAGAATTACTATATTAAATTCGAACAACAGATTTCCTATTGGGTTAAGGTCAGGACTTTGGGGTGGCCAAGAGAGCATTCGGAGAGATTTTTCTTCTCGAAATTCAATGGCAATGCAATGGTTTACGACGAGCAGCACAATTTTTAAGTCCTACCGAGTTAAGTGCACGCCGAATGGTTGAGACAGAGATTTCTTCTTTTTCCAAAGATTCTGAATATCCCTAGCACATTTCCGACGATTTTTTTTATTGGTCACTAATCGTTTAAGCTTTTTACAATCTGAAGATTGTAAGAGACATGGTCGTCCAAAATGTGGCTTTGCTTCAGTTGATCTAGTAACGTTGTATCGGTTTATGCAAGCTAAAACTGCTGAATGGCCACATCCCACGATTTTAGCAATTTGTCTGCTGGAATGTCCAATCTTATGACCACAAAGAATACTGTTTCTTTGGAAGTCAGTTTTCTTTTACCCATGATTCTCTTTAAAAAAAAAAAGATAGACGCGACAGATTGTTTTTTGTTTATTTATTTATATTTACAACATGACAATCTAGGCAACAGTTGACATAACAAATATCCTAAATCAGTAGTGTAGAAACAATTTTTATTATTGTGAAAGACACTGTTATTATAATAAAAAACTGGGCAATTTATGTAATAGAAAGTGTCCGTAAACTTTTGAGTACCCTCTGTATAATAGCATAATTCAGTCACTTGTCGAGAGTATGTCCAGACGAGCTGCTGCTGTAAGGGTATCCCAGTAAAATTTGGATATTGTCTTATAATATAACTGCTCATTCAATGAAATCGAAACAAATTTTAAATTTACATATTTTGAAATGTGGAAATTCTTTTACTTAATGACGCGAGGACGCATTGTAATTAGCTTCTTTGAGTTACATTATAACGAAAGCTTTAACGTAAATTTTCGAAAAAATTTATCTTTGACGTAAGCCTTTATTTTTCACTCAATATTTATATAAAGTTGCTAAAGCTATAGAGTGTATGCACATAGATATCGTGAACAAGTTTACTTATTGGCCGATCGTTTTAGTAAAAATTTTAGTTTACATATGGGCTACTTTTAACGCTCGATTCGTACTGCTACGTGAGACAGCTATCATTAAAAACATCTGCTTCAAGCCGACTCAATCCGTATTGATATACAAAGCAATATTCACCGAAATTGTTCCCATTAAAAACAACTCTATAATCAGCTGATAGTTTCTACATACAACAGTTGTGCATTATTTATGGTATATTGAGAAATAATTATTCAATAACACTCGCAGATTAACATCTAAGTTTCATATAATTCACTTGTCAGCGACACTCATACATGAATATGACATTAAAGTTAAATATAAAGTTTCAATACTTGGTAAATCACATTAATATTAATATTTATTCCAATAATTTACTATTAACACATACGTAACAGAAACTTGATTCAAAGCTAATGCGAACGATGGTCATATTATATACAGTACATATACAGTGTGGAACAAAAAAAACCGGAATTTTTTTTGCACATTCAATCGTGCATATCTCCACCAATTCGAGGTCGATTTAAACAATGTAAAATGTAAAATGATTGTCAGATAAGC